ATTCTTTATAAATACAGTGGTACCGTTTAGCCTCCTCGTAGATACAATGGTGTGAAAACATTTTGCCCCCTGCGTGATTTCCTAATGAGGTCCCAGGACTCAATGGTACTCCAAAAGTCAGAAATGTGATGTCCATTTCAAGTTTACCAGGAACTGCTTCCTGAACTTCCACACAGAATAAGGTATAAGGTATAAAAACACTGCGTGTGTAAATATGAATATATGAAGTTGATGATTGTTAAGATAGAACATTTTAATCCATTTCGTGTTTTCTCCCAATTCAACGCTATGACTATATACAGAAAAGCTTGACATGGTGCAGGGACAAGCAGTAAGGCATAGAGGACACAGGTGTTTAATTCAACAATTGGGTTTTATTGACCCAAAAATATGAAAGATAATTAACAAATCCTAAATACTTAAACAGGCAGACCAATAAAAGAGGTCAGCTCAATAAACTAAATTCAAAATAACAACTAAAAAAACCTCAGACAAACAGACCTCCTGAAATGACACATGAGGAACTGGTTTAGCCAAACCAAATGACACACAAGGGGGACAATTAAACAAACTTCAACCACCCCCCAGCTAATCAAGCATGTGGTTTAGTCCAATGAGGTTGTCAGCAGATCCCCCAGCCCTTTGTCACACCTTTTGCCAACCAGGGAGGAGAAGCCAACCCCCAGGTAACTCAAACAAAGAAAGATGTATTCATTTAACATAAAACAGAACTTTGACGTTGCAGTGTTATTATGTGTGCGCGCCAACACTGGAAGGTGTGATGGAGAAAAGAATGAAAGTAGTGACTGCAAAGTAAAGTGAAGCAACTAGTGGTGAGGTGTGGAGCTTGCAAGCAGAGTATGCAAAATAAAAAATAAATGACTACACAAACAAAAAGTTTTCATCTAATTGCACAAATCTATTTTCCAGTATTTACTTATTTATCAGTATAGACTGTGTTATTGATATTAGCTTCCCTACTCTGAAGTTTAATGTGGCATTAACACAAAATATAATAGGCTGTACAACCCAGGGGGAATTGCCCAGATATTTTGAAAATTTAAGACTAGCATCATTTTTAAGCAACATTCATCATTATTCCAATACTCCTCTAGGACTCAGTGCTAGATTTCTTAGGTTTTTTAAGTCACGAGCGTTACACCCAGCACTCACAGGACTTATCTAAGTTTGTGTGGATTTTGATGTAGGTTTATAATCTAGATAACACCGTAGAAAATAATGCCTAATCAATTTGTCAGAATGTTGCCTTTTAGGTTTAAACTTGTCAAAGACTAAAAACACACAAAATCCAAAGCGTGGGTTTAACACTGGGACTATTTTGCATTCCTAAACTATGAGTAATTAATTAATTAATTAGTTTCATATTAAAAGTAGGTGTTCCAACATCTGAGGAAACGCAGCACGCTTCTGTTTTTCAAAGTAAAAAAGCTGTCACAGTTTACTCTTCCATATTGTTAATGCTACGATGTCGGCGTGTTGGTGATGTAAAAGTCTTCAACATCTTTTATATCCATATCTTGTTGCAATAACATAAATTGTGAACAATAATAATGTAATGCCTAAATGTAAAATGAGTGCTATTGGTCATGAATTTCAGAATATATTTTATGGTTTGTCATCTTTAAATATTATAACAAACTCTTGAAATGTTGTCTTAAACTCTCAGTTAGGCTTTGGCAACAGTTTTGTCTGCTGAATTGTCCTGTAGCAGGACTGAGTAGCTTCAGGTTTTTTGCGTAGCTGATTCTCTAATCTTCCTCCTCTGGAAGGCAAAGGTAAAAGCTATCCTACAACTATTTGTTGAAGTTTATGTCTCAACAGTGCAATGCCTTGATGCCAGGCTCTATTGGGATTCCTCGTCTCTTTCTTTTTATGTTTTTTCTTTATCAGATAAAACTCACAAATACGTCTCACTTGTCAGTGCATGCCTTCTTTTCTCTGTCTTTACCTGAAGACAACAGCTCAATTTAGCTTCTCTGTTATAATAGAACATAATCTTCCAAACTATCTTCTTCAGGCTATGTTGCCTCTTCTTCACTCTAACAGGGTCAGGAAGAGACAGATTTATTCCATAAATCCTGCTTGGTCTGTTCCTCACGTGTGCATGTAAATTTTAACGTTATGAGTTGAATGCTTTTGATTAAAAAAAAAACACAAATAAGGATTCAACTTTATTGTCATTACACATGTATAAATATGGGTAATGAAATACAGATTGCATCTCATCAGAAGTGCAAGAGCAGTAAGTGCAGTAGGAGCAGATAAGGAACAGATAAGGGTAGTATAAAAGGTGAGAATAGTTATGAACAGATTATATACAAGTAAGTTGAGTATACAGATGTTTATATTGGTATACAGACAGCAAATATACAGATGTGCTGCACATATACAGATGTATCGACGTGTGGTAAACAGATCTACAGAGTGCTATAAATATATCTACAGTAGTGGAGGCGTAGCGCTTTGAACAGACTATAATAGTGAACAGTGTACGTTGTATTACAGAGACTATTATGTCAGTGTCCTTTACTATAGCAGTAACAAGTATCAATCACTTTAAAATGTCACCATGAACTTGAGAAGTTCTCTGTGCAAGGTCACCGTAGTTTTGGTTGTGCTGTGGACCTCTAGCATGACCAAAGCATAATAGAACATATATCACGTAGTGGAAAAAATTAAAGAATTTAAAACATGCAGTGTAATTGGACACTAAAGTTTTAGTTGAGAAAAAAATAAAATGTTAAAATAAAGAAAAAGTTTGCATTCGTACGGAGTGAGGAGAATTGGTGCTTTCATTATTTATTAGCACCACACTTTATATTTGCATAAATTTAAAATGTGCATTAAGTTTATTTTGGTCTTTTAAATAAATAACTGAATTAATTTGTTCCCCCAAGCAGTACAGCATTGGACTAGAAGTCAGACAACATGGTTACAGAAGCAGCCACTCTGACTTGTTCAGCACAGGTGCACCCAGTGTTCATAATAATGGTACCACTCCAATTAGCTGTTTCAGTAGCTTGCCCTGGTACTGTTTGTGCTGGCTTATTGGAACACTCCATATAACGTAGCCATCATTAGCATTATTAGATGCACCTGTGCTCTTCTTGGTGTGACAAATGTGTCAAAATGTTTGCTGTGAGAAACAATTATTGTATGTTGTTGTGTCATTTTTAGACTTTCTTCTTTTCTAAAGTCAAAAAGCAAAATTATGCTAGAGAGACTTTGTAATATCATAATAACTCCTTGAAATAAAGTAGAGCTGAGGAATTTCTAATTTATACACACACACACACACACACACACACACACACACACACACACACACACACACACACACACACACACACACACACTCTTCATCTTATATGTGTTCACTTGGATTTGTTCCCATGGTTTTAGAGCTCATATGATATGACACACACATATCAGCAATATTCACGTGTCTCCTCAGCAGCTGCTTCATTGTTCAGGTGATTTCAAACTACAGTCATGATTCAGTTAATTCCAGCATCAAATGGATGAAAAGCACAACAGAATGAGTGCTGGTTTAGCTAATCTTCTATTTCAGTCTTACCCTCATTTACTTTGTATGTGGTAGGCACTGCAGTTTATGGGGGGAAAAGAAATAAAAAAATGTAAGAATTAAATATTGAAGTGATCTGAGCCCATATTTAAATCTAAATCAGTCTCAGTATTTTGAAATTGATATTTTGATTGATTTTTTATCATTTTTCATCAATAGAACATTTCATGAAGAAATTCATTCATCCAGCTCACAGTCACAACAATTTGCCTCTTTATATTGTAATGTAAAGACCTTACAATAATACAGAGAAAACTCCAACAACCAGACGAGCCCCTTTGAGCATGCACTTGGGGACAATGAAGGAAAAACTTTTAAGAAACCTCTGGCAGAACCGGGGCAGCCATCTGTTGATTGGTCCACACACGTCGTTTTCGTTGTTACTTTAACCCTAAATATACCGAATTTCTCAGAGGAACCCACCCAAGGGATTAATAAAGTTCTATCTTATCTTATCTTAAATACATTCAAAATGTTGTCATGTAGCCTATAGAAGAAAGAGTAGACTAGAAACAGCATTTCTTTTCACTGTTGCTCTCTATAGATGAGGCAGATAAATCTAAAAACACTATTTGACTATTTACCGTTGTTTGAATCGACCTGTGACCAACATGCTTTTGATGATGATGTCATGGGAAACATTTTGAAAATCTGGAAATGTTTGTATTTTTGTAAATGGCCTTGCTGATTTCAGTTCATTGTTGCGTGTGATTTTGATCAAAACACCAGTATTATTGATGAGAAACATGCTGGCCTGCAGGTTACTAACCAGTAACCCAAACCTCAGCACGGTGCTCACTCCCGCACAAAGTATGAACTTGTTCTGACGGCCTCTCTTTCTCACATTCCAAACAAATTAACACTCCTAGTGTCAAGTGTCATACAGCACACCAGGAGCAACATTTTTGCATAATTTGGTGTAAATTACTGTAAATTAGTATGATGCATTTAATTACTCTCCTCCCAAAATGTTGCACTTTGAAAATGCCCACCAATACATGTCTCGAGGGCAGCTGCAGAAATACCTGCGTGCACGCTTTTAGACACTGCAACGCTTTGATGAATCCCAGCAGTCTATTTCTAACCTCAAATTAGGATTTTGCACTTGTGCAGGCTGTTTGTAAAAACTACAGGCGTTTCTTATTTCCATACTCCATACTGTTTCCCACCTTGTCTTTCTCCATACTCCTGGTTGTGAACCAGAAATCAGTTTCAGTATGTCTGCTGTCCTCCACATGCATTTCAGGAACTGAGACGTCCTACATCGTGGCAGAGCACAGGACACAACACGTGACTTTGCAATTACACTGGGTGCTTGTTAGTGCCGGGTTTTAATGACAATGTTGCCTCCTGCACTGTCTCTTACTCTTTCTCTCTGTCCTGTTTCCCAAAGGTGCCAGTGGAGAACAGAGAGATGAAGACTTTATCTCTCCTCTTCCTCCTCCTCCTCGCCTCGGGAGCCTGTGACGACGTCAAGTACATCTCCAAGAGGAACTCAGGTAGGATGAAGAGCCTCGGTGTTTGTTGTCTTGTGGCGTACTCTGCTTTGTTGAAAACGAGCCTTTCTCTCTTGAACATTCTCAGGCTTTTTATTTTTGGAGCTTATTGTTGCTTTGTTTTTCTTGCTTTGTTTCACTGCCAGCACTCTACAGTCTTCTCGCGATAATGCTAACTCTTGTCTTTTGTCATTATACTCCACCTCACTCTTATTCTCCTTTTTGCTGTCAAATATAGGGTGTCTCTCAATGTTCCCCTGCAATCTGCTCTGCTCTCATCCTTTATGATGTATTGACATCTCTTAAGTTGATGCAACGGACACTCGCTCCCACAGCTTTTCCCCCTCATCCACAATCACCACCTCTGCCTTTCTTAGATAACACTCCTCTCCAAACTCTATCTCAAAGCTCAGAATGGCTGTCTCTCCATTTCTATCCCTCTCCTTTTTCTGCTGAGGGGGTGTAATGATCAGCCCGTCTGACTGCTGCTGTCATTGTTGCTGCTGCTGTGCTCATTTGTGTATCGGCAGGCCCGGTGATGACAGATCTGCTGATAGTCTTTTATTCATAATCGATTTGTTGTGTCACGCTAATCGTCTTGACAGAAGGAGCTTGATTGGGATATTGATGTATGGCATCAATAGTTTTGTGTGATACTATTCGGTGATCTTGGTACAGTGCTTTGCAGAAGCCTTGAGTAATGCCCCATTTCTTTATATTTTGCTCCCAAGGAGCCAGACTCTCTTATCATTTTTGATATGGAGCAAAAGTTCTCCAGGTTTTCTCAAAGTTTTTCTTAGACAGCATTTGTTACCATTTCTTGAGCTGAATATAAAAGAAAAATGCCTAAAACTTGGCATATCTCACTTTCCAGTGTGTTCCTAAAAACAATTTCAGGAAACTGGACACGTTGAGGACAAACAAGTGGCAGGTCTTAAAACTATCTAAAGCAAATGAACAGTATCTGAAAGTAAAGAAAAAAAAATCCAGCAAATACCTGACCACGATCCTGAAAGACATGCATCTGATCCTTCAACCGATCCATCTACTGTACACTAAAGCTTCATCAGACATGGCCTCAGTGGAAGAGTGGCTGCCAAATGCCATTTTTAAGGAAGGAAAACTGGGAGAAAACGCTGAGACATGTCCCATTACACAGGAACTGGACTGAAAATCAGTCCTAACAAGTTTGAACATTTTGGTTCAAATGATCATCAATATTTACAGATGAGCTCAGGAGACAGTCAAAACAGCGAGTGTCTGCAGGCATCTGTAAAATCATATCAGCTGGTGGTGTTTGAGATTTTGTCATAACTGAATGCAAAAAAGTAAGGTCAGATTTTGCATCCATAACATCTGGAAAGCATCAATGATCCCAAAGTAAAATCACACCTGGACTGAAAAACACACAGTTGAACATTATCAGTCATGGATTGGCCTCCCCAGAGCCGGACCTCAAATGTATTGATACTGTGCGGGATCATCTTGAACAGAACAACAACAGCCAAAGAAGAGCTTTGAACGTCTGGAGAAATAATCCTGAAGCAGCCTGAGAGAGAAGAAAGCGGCCTGAGAGAGTTCAGACTGTGCTGAAGAATAAAAGACTAACTAACTGTACAAACTCTGTTTTTGCCTTCCATACTATGTTTCTATTTATGTTTCCAAGTTTCCTAGTAACATATAAAGAAATGAGGAGTAACTCAAGACTTTTGCAGTATTGTATGTGTGACCTAGAGGTGAGCTGTTTAGCATTTTGATTCACTTTCATGTTGCCTTCATACTTGAATGGAGCATTTCACCTGCGGTGTTACACTCAGGGAATCTTTCATTATAAATATTACCTACAGCATCTGTAATTTTATTCTCACACGCTCCTGCCAGATCCTGAAAGTGATAAAAACACAGAAAATTACCCAGCGATTTTTAGCAAGCTCAGGTCATCTAATTATAACAATCCAGTTAGAATTGATTCCCCTTTAATATAATCCTGTCTCACTGTTTTGCTTGCTTATAAGTGAGCGTGTTGGTCCTGGTGCTTTAATCGAGGGGATACGAGGGCAAGCATAACAATACTTCAGAGATTCTTTGTAATTACACACACTCAGCATCTGAGAATTGCATTACAGCACTTCACCCAACCACTGTAAGAATAACACAATTGTGGTTTGTGTCTGCTTGCTATACTTGATGGAATATTGCAGGCAACACACTTCAATCATTTTCCTGGGAGACTTCATACCTGGTGGAGGACAGAACTGCATGGTGAAAGCATATGGTTTATGAGGTGCTGTTACACTACTATTATTACACACTGTGCATGCAACATTTACTTATATAAACAAAAAAAATCATATGACTATCAAATAGCTATTTTTGCCTTGGTTGCATAGTTTAACATAATTAAGCTGAAATGAAATCATGGGTAGAAAAATGCAGGACATGACAAAACTTGCAGGGAAACCCCAACCCCACCCTTACCCACTTTCTTCATCTGAAGTTGACTTTCTCTAAAAGGAGCTCAAAGGTCGAGGTCACCCACAGAACAGACCCTGCAGCTGGCAGCCAGTCACTGAGAGTTAACCTGAAAAGATGCTTGCCAAAATGCTTTCCGGCCCACCCTGAGATCCGCATAAAGTGCTTCTTCCTGGATACAATTTTATGGAATAAAAAAATAATCAAAAACTTTTTGACAACAGCAACAAAAGAAATATCACAGTTTCTCAACGTTTGCTTCTTCGTGAGAATCATACTTGGTGAAGATGTTTTTAAGACTAGTTAAATTGTTTTCTCTCCACGTCTGTCTTTGGCACGCTCGCCCCTCAGCCTGCTGACTGTGTGTGGGTAGGTGAGTTGGTGGGAGTCTTTGTTTGGTGTTTGCCATGTATGTGAGCGTGTGCGGGTGAATAGACCACTTCTTGACATACCAAACTGTGACTGTGTGTGTGCTGTATATATCCAGGTTCTAAGTGTATGTGTGTACAAACTCCCCGAGTGTGCTTCAGTGTATCCTCTCTGTATGTGTGCTCTACTTCTGTGCATGTGTGTGAGTGGGAGAGGTGTGCACAGAGCAATTATGTGATCAGAGCAGAGCCAAGCGGACATTTATGTGGGCGAGCGCTACAGTTGGCCAAAGATAGTCTGTTAGATTTTGTTTCTCTTTTGTTGTGTGTGTGTGTGTGTGTGTGTGTGTGTGTGTGTGTGTGTGTGTGTGTGTGTGTGTGTGTGTG